ATGAGGCATCGTTCTCCGAATCAATCGAAGAGGCGCTCGCTTTCTCAAAAGCTGGGCTGCTCAGAGACCACGAGGGCCGATCTCAGAAATCGAAGAGGCACCTACTTTTCTAGCCTTGTCAGCACCTGTCACACGCACACTCAGCTTTGCAGAAATTATGGGCATTCTGTCGAAGATTTCTGGTGAAGTAGAAAGCACATGAATCTTACTGTTCAATTACCCACTTCCCACACGCAACAATAGCTCATGGGTACCACAGATAACTTTGTCAAAGTTCTCTGCCAAAGTTGAGCACGTGAAGCTTGCAGCTCCCACTACATCGCTCTGACCAAGAAAGGTAAAAGAATAGCAAAGAAAACAGCACTAACAAAGTTTAGACACATAAATTTTGAAGGTCTAGCTACCATATTATTACCCACAAGGGTAAAGGAACAGTACCACTGCTGGATAATTGGAAAGTCCCTGTGTGTCAACCTCTGTGCTTCGTGGCAAGGTAGACTAGCAAACATGCCCAACCTTTACTCACATTCGAGAAAACACTCCCAACAAGATTGCTTGCTCCAAAATCGAAGAGGCACCGTCCTCCGAATCTCGAGAGCCAGACTCCCAACATGACTACTGTCTCAAAATCGAAGAGAGGGTAAAGGAACAGTACCATTGCTGGATAATTGGAAAGTCCCTGTGTGTCAACCTTTGTGCTTCGTGGCAAGGTAGACTAGCAAACATGCCCAACCTTTACTCAAATTCGAGACAACACTCCCACAAGATTGCTTGCTCCAAAATCGAAGAGGCACCGCCCTCCGAATCTCGAGAGCCAGACTCCCAACATGATTACTTCCTCAAAAATCGAAGAGACACTGCTCTCCGAATCTCGAGAGCCAGACCCCCAGCATGATTGCTTTCTCAAAAATCGAAGAGGCATCGTTCTCCGAATCTCGAGAGCCAGATACCACAGACCACTTTTTCAAAGTGCTCTGACAGAGTTAAAACATGTGAAACTGACAGCTCCCACTACCGTGCTATGACCAAGCAGGGTAAAGGAATAGCATTACTACTTGTTGTTAGGGAGACGCCTATATATGTCAACCTCCATCCCCAACGGACAGGCAGACCTGCAAAAATGCTCAACCCTTCATCATATCTGAGAGGGCACTCCCAACGAAGCCTTTCGAAATATTCAGCTTTCTTTCCCCCCGATAATACCTCTGCAAACAAGCTATACTAGAGCAAGAATATCTCATATCATCAGGGTTAAAAGCAAGAGTATCCCATATCATGCTTTTTCCCTGTCTTTTCCTTTGGCCTTGTTTTTACCTGCAAGACAAGGAGAAAGAGAGCAATCAGTCAGCACTTGGAATCAAGCTTCCAGCCAGGAACTGACTGCCTGGAACCCCTTACCTGATTACTTACCTGGCATTGCTCTCGAGTACTCATCTTCAACATCTTATGTTTCCAAGGAAGATTCCGCATCTGCTTGAGGAACAGATAGGGCAAGTGCGAAGGATACAAGGAAGCATGTGGAGACAAGCGTAACAGCACACGTGCCGATACATCCATTACTCTGTCAAAAGCAAAAGTATCCCATATCAGCAGGGTGGAACGTACTCTAGATTTGATGGACTTGTTTTGACCCTCAAATTCTTCAGTCGGCCTTATACTCTGGAGGAAACCAGAAAACCCTCCAGCTCAGTTCAAGAATAAGCCTGTGGAAAGTTACTTCTTCAAAAGCAAAAGTATCTCATATCATCTCTTCTCATTTTTCTTCTCTTTATCCTTCATGCTGTTGCAAGATGGGGAGAAGGTGAACAATCAGTCGGAGCTCTGATTGCTTACCTTGTCTGTCACCTCTTTCAGCAGACCCCCTAGCTCGGCGACTTGGGGGACTCCTACTACATGGTTTGTATCGCGCTTGACTAAGCCTGAAACTACAAGTAAGCTTCAAGTGAAATTGATACATTACCTTGTGCATCTCCACCAGTTAAAGATACCACCCCTGGATGGAGGAAAAGTACTTCCAGAGAAGATGCCACAATCTACCTATGAGACAGATAAGGCAAGTCAAGACGACACCACACTCCGATACTTAGAACTTTCGTGATTACGAGATCATTCTCCCACAATATTTCCTAATGTCATTTGTACTAAATCATTCACTTGTACTCACTAAAGGAGAGCTTGAACCTATGTACTTGTGTAAACCCTTCACAATTAATGAGAACTTTTCTATTCCGTGGACGTAGCCAATCTGGGTGAACCACGTACATCTTGTGTTTGCTTTCCTATCTCTATCCATTTTATATACTTATCCACACTAATGACCGGAGCAATCTAGCGAAGATCACAAAAAGCGACCGTTTTCGCTACCTAGGATCTATCTTGCAAGAGAACGGAGAATTAGATGGAAATCTCAACCATAGAATACGAGCTGGATGGATGAAGTGTAAGAGCGCATCCGGCGTGTTGTGTGACCGTCGTAGGCCACTGAAGCTCAAGGGAAAATTTTATAGGATGGCAATAAGGCCAGCGATGTTGTATGGCACAGAATGTTGGGCGGTGAAGCATCAACACGTACACAAAATGGGTGTAGCGGAGATGAGGATGCTTCGTGGGATGTGTGGGCACACGAGAAAGGATAAGATTGGGAATGAGGATATCCGAGGTAAAGTAGGAGTAGCCGAAATTGTAGGAAAGATGAGAGAAAATCGGCTCCGGTGATTTGGACATGTGCAAAGAAGGCCGACTGACACTCCGGTTCGAAGATGTGACTACGGGACAGAGGTTCAGGGCCGAAGGGGTAGAGGAAGACCTAGGAAAACTTTGGAAGAGACTCTAAGAAAAGACTTAGAGTACTTGGATCTAACGGATGACATGACACAAAACCGAGCGCAATGGCGTTCTAGGATTCATATAGCCGACCCCACTTAGTGGGAAAAGGCTTTGTTGTTGTTGTTGTTGTTGTTGTTGTAATTAAAAAAATTAAATATCTCTCCCCACTTTCACGTTCTCTCAATCTCTCTTTCTCTCTCATTAAAATCAAAAATAAAAAATTTCAAACATTTCGTATGTGGGCATATACTACCTTTTGATTAATACCCTTTGACTTTCTTCCACTGTCACCATTTTACATATTTTTCCAAAATTATGGTAATTGAAAATATATTTGAATTTTCATAATAAATAATCGTTGAGATAATTTTTGGCATAACTATCCTATTGATTGTAAAACTGTAGGTGAATTCACCTTCTTCATTAATTTCAGTCACCTTTATGTGTTCTATCTTCAAATAAGGTTTAATTTGCTCAGTTTTTGGGTCTTTCAATGTAAAAAGTGTATGTGTAAATTGTATATATAGTGCTAACATCTATGTTATCGTACTTTATTTGTTATGATCAATGTAGTTGTTGAGGTATTTATTCTCTTTTTTTTTTTCAAGGAAAAGAAGGCCATTAATATAGTACAAGTCAAGGTTCTAAAAAACGCTAAGCGCTAGTCGGGCGGCGGGCTAGCGCCTAGCGCTTAGGCGGCTATGCAGCTAGGCGGCCTAGGCGGATTTAGATAAATTTCTTATATATCTTGTAAATAAGTGCATATTGACACCTAAAAAAAAAACTATATTTGTATGGATAATAAAATAATGATAAAATGCAAATTAGGTACACTATTTCCATAAGTATTTGATGAACTTGTAGTAAATCCATCATTTGCAAATTAGATACACCATTTCCATAAGTATACCACCATGAAACCAAAAAAGAAAAAAGCACGCAATTAATAAATAAATAAATAAAAACCTCCTAGGACCGCCTAGGGCCGCCTAGGACCTCCTAGGACCGCCTAGCCCGCCTAGCCCACCTAGCCACCCAGCCCGCCTAGCCTGCCTAGGCGCCGCCTAGGTCCAACCCGATTTTTCCGCCCGATTTGCCCAAAAATGCCTCGGTTGCTAGGCGCCCAGCACCTAGGCGGCCGCTTAGGGCTTTTTTTAGAACACTGGTACAAGTACTTTTTCTTTTGATACCAACGATTGGTATATGTAATTGGATGTTGGTTATGGAGAATGATTCTCTTCCCTCCTAATTTCTTTTCTTTTTCTTTCCCTCATACTTGAACAGTTATTAAGTCACGTCATCATCTTATATTGATTTTTTATTGAGATAATAAAATAAAAAACAATATGTAAGAGGAGGGAAGGGAATGGAATGAAAATAAGAATAGAGAAAATCATACTCCGTTGGTTATATGAGTTTGTTTGATATATGACCTTTAGTTTGTATAGTACCTTTGTTTTTATATGGATACATGCTTTTGGTTATAAACACACCAATGAGCTTAAGGTACGTTTAATTTGGAAAAAGCTATAGTATTGGTACGTTTGTGTATTTGTGGTACGTTTGATTTTAAACGTACCAAAAGGCTTTAGGTTTTCTATTAAACAACTACGATATTAGTATGTTTGTGTCTTTGTGGTACGTTTGATTTAAACAGACCAATGTGTTTTAGGTATATTTGATTTTAGAGGATGTCATTTTGATTTTCAGAAATATAGTTTTACTAAAGATTATTTTATCATTAATTCGTTGATTGTGTTTTTTTGGCATGGGTTCGTGTACATTTTTTCATTTTTTCATTTTTTCATTTTTTCTTATGTATATATCTCTATTTTTTTTTTTAAATTTAAATTGTATGATTATCCATAATATTTAGTCTTATAATAGATAGAATTAACCCACGTAAAATATGGGATAAAGGAACGAGAGGATAGTTGGAGAACGAAAATACCAGCAAATGTAGTCTAATCAAAACTTAGAACGAGAGGATAGTTGTTTAATTTCGTTTAGACCGTTTTTACACGTGTTGTCATCCGTGCTTCTCTTCTCTTTTCCTCTATTCTGGACTCTTCTACTCCATCTTTTCCACGTGTTTATTTGTTCGTCTCTCTCTCCCCATTCTCAGCTTTTGCTTATTATAGAACCTTGGGTGTTTTTTCTCCTCTTTCACGCGGCCGTCGTTGTCAGGTTTTTCTCGCCGATTAACTACGGTGGTTTTCTTGCTTCACATCGCTCTTACCCATGGTCGTTTTCTTCCTGGAAATTTTGTATTCTCTGTTTGGTTTTCTGGTTATTGAGTTTGGATAGGAATTTGAATTTGATTCACAAATTTTTGTTAAACCCCAACAAGAAATTTAGGACTATGTATTACGATTTTTTTCTTCTGTGTTTTGGGATTGTCATCCTTTGTGTTTTGGAATGGCCATGAACATTCTCCGGAAAAAGTAATGCAATCAACAATTCACATTTAAAGTTTGCATTTTCGATGCCCTCTCTAATGCAAATATATTTATATGCTAATTCATTGGTTTTTTATGTTTTTTCAAATTTGCAGTATTATTTTGAGGGACGAATATGATTTGGTCAAGTTCATTAAGTTGGTGCAACAAGCAGGCCTATTTGTTAATCTCCAGATTGGCCCTTATGTTTGAACTGAATGGAACTTCAGGTAATTATTTTTGTTAAGAATATTTTGTGATTTTTCTTTTTCTTTTTTTCTTTTTGATCTTATGTAAATATGGTTATATTCATTACTCTGTTTGTTACTTTTTCCTTCTTCGTTCAATCATGTAGAAAGATGATTATAATTTAGTTGCTCCAAAGATAAAACATGGATTTGTTTATGAGATCACACATTTCTATACGGGCGAAGTAAAACATCACACAAAATTGTCCTACTATACGAGAAATTTTTCCATGCTGACCTGGAGTTCCACCAACCATAACTTGACACCTATTTATTTTTAATACCCACCTACTAGTCTCTCCTTCCTCTCTCCCTTCTCCGGAAACTGAAAAACAAAGAAGATTTTTGCATTTGCATTATTCAAAATAATATCAGAGTAGAACAATTTCCAAGGAGTTGTCAGATTTTCATCAACAGATTCTATGATCTCAGTTTTATTTTCTCGGTTCCCAACTATTGTCTCTTGTAGATAAGAACAACATTCTCACATGTAATAATTTACATATCCCTGACAAACACCCATTTATTGACAACATGTGCTTATCAACATTTTTTAAACATTTTAAAGAAATCTTACAAGGCTAATTGTCAAATTGCAAGATATTTTGATATACGTTGTTGCAATACAACCTTTGGAAAAACATAGGCTTTTTAACCAAAATTATCCCTGAGATTTGCATAACTCCTCACTTTGGTCCCTGAGATTTCAAATCGATAAAAGTGATTCCTGAGATTGTCCACCATTCATCAACTTGGTCATTCCGTTAAACAATTCCGTTAAGTTCAGGGTATTTTTATCAAATCAAGTTCTCCACTTACTTTTTCACCCTTTTTCTATCATCTCTCTCATATTTTCTACCAAAGTCATCATTTCTCTACATTCGTCCTTGTCGGTTGACAAAGAAAAGGGAAAAAGTGATTAGGGTTTCTGAATTGGGGGTTTGGGTCCCGGTGTAGAACTAAGGCTGAAAATCAGAAATCGGTAAGGAATCTTTCGAATTGGTGGATTACGAGGCAATGAAGTTGACTGCGAGATGACAAACCATTTTCGCAGATCTGGAAGGCTCCCAAATATGGTGAGTTGCATTTGAACCATATAATACTAAGATTGTTGATACATTTGAGATACTTAAGTATTTTAAAATGTTTAGTTGTCGGTGGTGTGGTCCTAAGGTGTGGGTTTTTGTCATTTTGTATTGAAGGTTGCTTTGGTTTGCATTGGTTTGCATTTTGGCTTTTTAAATGGCATTGTAGTGGTTGGTGTGTATGTTTACTGCTGTCTTGTAGTGTGGAATAGTTTAAAGGTTTTGGCATTGAATAAGAGTAGGGAAGATACAATCTTTGGTGGAATGTCATGATATTGCAAGACAATTGGGATATCACTTGGAATTAAGCATGCATAGAAAAAAGCCTACTGGGATAGGATTTGTTGAAATGACACGTGATATAGAAGTTTTGGTTTTAATTGATGAAATGGGAAAAAACAGGATAACAGAATTATTTATGGTTGACAAGAAGAAGAAGGATGTTGGTGAAGGCTCAACTAATGTGGATGTATCAGTAGAGCAAGAGGTTAAGATAACAAATAAGGGAGATGTTGTGTCTTTTCTTGAAGATGTTGAGGGACGAAATTGGGAAGATACAGATGTTGAAAAGGAGCAAAATGAGGAAGTTGCAGATGAGGATGTGTTTAAAGACAGTGATTATGAGCAGGATTCTGATTGAGTTGCAAGTTGATTATGAAGTTGATGATGATGATGAGTTTGAAAAACATGTAGACCAACCTATTACAGAAGAGCTCGAAGAAATGGGGTTTGCAGGAGAGATATCAGATGAGGATGCTAATTCTTGTGACTTTCATAACCTTGAAAATGAAACTTCATAAGAAGAAGATGAATTTGATGAGGTAACCAGCAGAAAGAGAAAGAGGCAGCAGAATAAGCCTACACCAAAGTTTAAAGAGTGGCATAGAGGTACAGACTTGAAAAATCCTGACTTTTGCAATGGTATGCTTTTTCCTAATAAACCACAATTGAAGGAGGCTATCATTAATTACAGTGTAATTAATGGGAAACGTGTGTGGTTTAAAAGAAATGACAAGGTTAGAATTAGGGTTGTTTGTCAAGAAGATTGCCCTTTTGTCATTTATGTTGCAAGGTTGCATAAATCAACAACTTTCCAGATTAAAACACTTGAGTTGAAGCATGTTTGTGCTAGAGATGAAAAAGTTTCTTGCCTTAATTCTAGATTCTTAGCACAAAGATATGCTAATCAACTTCTCATTGATCCAGATTGGTCTGTTGACTTGTTTAAGGCTGCAAGTTAGGAAGATTATGGCCAAGAGGTGACTACTCAACAAATATATAGGGCAAGGCAGAGAGCAGAACAATTGAATTGTGGTACTTGGGCTCAACAATACAGCAAACTTGAACAATACGCTGAGGTATTGAAGAGTACAAACCCTGGATCAACTGTGGTTATTAAAATTCAGATGAGAGGTGATATAAGAAGATTCTAGAGAATGTATATTTGTTTTGAAGCTTGCAAAATGGGGTTTAAAAAGGGGTGTAGGTCTGTTATAGGACTAGATGGATGTTTTGTGAAAGGGAAACATCTGGGACAAATTTTAGCTACAATTGGAATTGATGCCAATAATGGGATGTTCCCACTTGCATATGTTGTTGTGGAAATAGAAAATGAAGACACCTGGGAGTGGTTTTTGAAAATGTTGATTGGTGACTTAGGCATGAGCAATACTCATGGCTATGCATTCATCACAAACAAGCAAAAATGGTTAATTAATGCTATTCAAACCTTGATGCCCAATGCAAAGCATAGACTTTGTGTTAGGCACTCGCATAATAACTTCAAAAAAATACATAGTGGCCTCGCATTAAAGCAAACTTTGTGGGAGGCGGCAAGGGCAACAACAATACCTTGGTTTCAGTCAATTATGGATAAGTTGAAAGAAGACAATGAGGAAGCTTGGAAGTGGTTGGATGACAAACCACCAGGACATTGGAGTAAATCATATTTTAGCACATACTTTAAGTGTGATATTCTTGCCAACAATCTATATAAGGCTTTTAACAAATCGATTGTGAAGGCAAGGGACAAGCCCATTTTGACTATGCTCCAAATGATAAGGAAGAACCTAATGGTAAGGATGGCAAATAGAAGAGTGGCTACTTTAAAGTAAAAGGGGGTTGTTGGTCCAAGAATTGAGAAAATAATTGACAAGTTGAAGAAAGAGCGTGGGATTTGCCTTGCTACTCTAGCTGGAGATATGAAATACCAAGTTCAACACTTACATGGGTGGGAGTTTGCAGTAGACTTAGGAGCCAGGACTTGTTCTTGTAGGAAATGGGATCTTTGTGGAATCCCTTGTGCTCACGCTATTGCTTGCATTCTAAGAAAAAAATAAGATGTTGCTTTATATGTTGATGAGTGCTATAAGCAAGCATCTTACCTCAGTGCTTATGCCCCTTTTATTTCACCTATCCCTGGTCCAGATCAATGGTTAAAAGTGGCATATATTATCACTATTAAACCTCCTTTACATAAGATGCAAACAGGCAGACCTACGAAGAATAGGATAAAGGAGCCTAGTGAAAAGCCACCAGCGACAACTCATGGTGGAAAAAAGCTAGGGAAATGGGTTTCACACAGACCATATACATGTCAACAATGTGGACATGAGGGCCACACAAAAAGAACTTATGGAAATGGGGGCTCTACAAGTCAGTCAACACCAACTCATGGCACTTATGAGCCAAGTCACACAACTGCAAACACACTAGTGACAACTCAAGCCACTCAAGAGCCAAATCATTCAGTTGTTAACACATCTACACTAGAGGTATAATCTATTTTGTGTTGTATTTTTTTTTTTTAAATTGTAGGTTTTGATAATGAAAATGAAGTCCATTAAATTGGTTGATATTGTAGGTAGGCATGGGCATGGGAAGAGGAATAGGAAGAGGAATGGGAAGAGGGAAAGACATGGTATCTAACTCACAACCCACTCCACAAGTTCAAATGGTACATTCAGTAGCCCTTTAGTTTTTGTGTTGTTTATTCTTTTCCTCTTTTTTTTCAACAATTACTTGTGTAAATTGTGATAAAAGGAGTACGATTTGGATTTTATAGGGTGACTAAGTGTAAGTTATTATCTTTTGGCTTTCAATAGGTACAAGGCTGCATTGGTGTCACTTCCCAAGTGGTGCTATCACAATCACAATCCACCAACAAACGATATAAATTACCAGCAAAGAGAGGCAAGCCTTGGAAGCCTTGAGCATTGAGGGAGTTTGTAGTTTGGATATCACTGCATAAATGGGAGAAAACAAGTTGCAACCATTTATTTTCTTCTTCTTTTTGAATTAGAACAGTTTGATATTGATTTTGCAGTTGAACATTGCTGTTAGACATGTGGGATGTTTTTTGATGTTGAACATTTGAACATATTTTGCTTTGAGATATTTTGCAAGTTATAATGCAAATCATGTTGAAAATTTCATGTAATGGAACATGATATCTCTTTTTGTTAATTCTTTTGATTTAGCCTTGTTTATGGATTTACAATATTTGAACCATTCATTTCATTATATTCAAGTGTGCAAACTGTACAATTTTTTCCAAAAATTAACGAAAGGGAAAAAGTCAAGTACCGTTTACGATGATTTACTTGAGTTTGATGCCAAATCGTTTTTAATAATAGTTGAAGAGTTGATATCACTACCAAAATTAGCAACATAGGGGTATTTTCTGATAGAAATGAGGGAAGTAGGATGAAAAAGCAAGTGGAGAACTTGATTTGACAAAAATACTCTAAACTTAACGGAATTTTTTAACGGAATGACCAAGTTGATGGATGGTGGACAATCTCAGGGACCAAAGTGAGGAGTTATGCAAATCTCATGGACCATTTTGGCTAAAAAGTCAAAAACAAAAAATGGTTGCCAATGAAAGATTTGAGACCAAAAGTTAAATTTCTATTGAAATATGAGGTACAAAGTATAATAAAGCATTTATAAAAGGATGATTATCCTTTTTTTTTTTACACATTTTTTAAGGTTTATAATTCTTTTTCTACATCTATGCATTTGTCTCTCTCAATTCACAATTTAGCAGAATTAGAGTATATTTCTGTTTACAATAAGATGTGAATTCTAACATTTATTCATACGTGCAGGCTAAGAATTGTGGTTGAACAGTTTATTGTAGTTAGCTTAGCAATTTGAAGAGTCTACTTTCTCCTCATATGTTTGCTTTAACATGTGTAAGTTGTAATTATTATTTTTCTCTTCATGGCATACTTAAATTTGTAGATCAGCATATATTTGTTTTTAACATTTCTTATTAAATGTCTTTGAAGATTGACTGAAGAAAGTATCCAATTTTTTAGCAAGTAAAAAAAATCACCTCAATAATTACAGTTTTATTCCAATTTGTAAGCAAGTGGGAAAAAACTCTGAAGTTTCAATGAAGAGAGTCAGAAGTTCTGAATAGTATGTTTATAAAAATAGGATTGTAAATAGAGATGTAAACATTGTTGTTAATATGTCTAAACAGAATTGTAAATCTGCAGCAACGCACGGGCTCTTTTGCTAGTATAATTCTAAGAGAGAAAAATAGTGGGGCCCACACCCTATAATCTTCATCCCTTCCCTCCCTCCCTTCCTGCACGCACATTTCATCCCTCAATCTCCACGCACCTTTCTCCCTCCCTGCACCCTTCATCCCTTCCTCGCCATGGACCAAACGTTGCAAATCCCTACAGCACCATGGCTTGAAACAAAACCCAGCAAATCCAAATCCAAATCTAATTCCTCTCTGCAAAAATTTCCCCAAACCAACCCAAAACCCATCATCTTTCTGCCATCAAATACAAATTCAAATCTCTCTAAGCGGTGATGTGGTTTATCCTGCGAGTCTACAATTTTTCGAGATCTCCGGTCGTTGACGAAACTGGGTTTTTTTTTGTGATAGAGGGTTCGTCGTTCGCCGCCTCGATGACGTTTCTGACCATCAACGCCCTCAACTTGTACGGATGGTATGTGATGGCGATGGTGTGTGCGGTTCTGAACCACCACAAGTCGGTGAGGCTGGTGGTGCTTGGGATCTGGTGGTTGTGGTAGAAATAGGAGTCGTGGACACGACTATAGGAGCTGCCGGCGAAGATCGCAGTTTAGCAGGGAAGTTCCCAATTTGATTGGTTCACCCTTTTTTCCAAAAATTGGTCCAACCCAATACTTGAAATGCAATTAAACTACAAAGGGTTCTTGTTGATCATGAAAGACTTGTGTGACGGCATCTTTAGGAGTTCGGGAGCAGAGGAACAACATGCAGACAAAACCCTAGCTATTTTTTTCTGGGTAATATGTTTCATAAGGCACAAATTTGTTTTTAAGAAAAATATTAAGAAGGAAGCATATTGAAAATCATTTTCCTTGTCATACAATTTTTTTTACTTAATGGCCACATGGCGAAGCATGATTGGATGACAAGATGCATTTGAGCCCTATAATTTCCACGCCATTATTTAACTGGTAAACTAACATAAAATTTAACGGAATGTATGATATTGAAATAAAATGATAAGTAATGTATGAGATTGAAATATTTTAAAGATATATGAGGTTGCAATAACATCCAAACTTAAGAGTGTAAACTGTAATTTATCCTAAAAAAATTGTACATACAAAATGGTTCGGGGTGGGTAATTGATAGGAGCATATTTATGCGACTTAATTGTCTTATTCTTGTGCGTTTACGTTGTGTTTCCTTAGTTATTTTAGTGTTTAAAGCCATTTTCATTTGTTTGTAGGTCTTAATAACAACCTTGGCAAGAAAAGTGCATTTTGGTGCATGTTGGATCAATATTGGGTTGAAATGGATTGCATGCATGAGGATGGACGTTTTGGGCATATGTGTGTGCATGTGTGTGTGTGCAATTGCAAGGATAAATAATGACAACTCATACATATGCAAACACATGGCAAAAGAGGGAGAAAACACATGCAAAGACACCCACATGCAAAGTGAAAACAAAACTCACAGCAAAGGAGAAGGAATTGTGTGTGTTTTGTGGTTGAAATGATGAAGCATGTGTGTGTAAATGTAAAGGGAAAAACATGGCAGCAAACACATGGCAAAGAAAGCAAACACATGGCAAAGAGAAGAACATTGAAGCAACCACATGGGAGCACACGGCATAGGGCAGAAAATGTGGGTGTTTGGTGCTTGAAATGATGAAGCATGTGTGTGTAAATGTAAAGGAAAATAGGGCAGAAAATGTGTGTGTGTTGTGGTTGAAATGATGAAGCATGTGTGTGTAAATGTAAAGAGGAAACATGCCAACACACACCCACACAAGATGCACATGCAAAGGAAATGGAGTGGTCCTCTCTCAAGCCTATAAATACCACCTTTCATATTCATCAAAAAGAGAACAGATTTTCTCCTTGCTTTGGCCGAAACTTCCCACCACCATTCTCTCTAATTTCAGCCAAAAACCACCCCTAGCCACACCACCCATCAATCCTAAACCTTTCCATACCATTCCCCATCCATTCTACACCATAAAAACCACCCAAAACCGTCCAAAACCTCTAGTGCCGCTGCTTACAAGGAAGGAAAGAGAAGAAACATCTTGTGTCGTGCCTATGCCCAAGCCTTGGGAGTGTTGGAGCGTTTCTAGGTGTTTTCTATCTTTGTTTTTAATGTCTAAATTTATGCATCTTTGCTTTGTAGTATATGAGGAACTAAACCCCTCTTAGATAGGGGGTGATTCGAAACTATGTTCATGCTTGCAATATGATTTGATTACATCCAGTTGTGATTCATAAGTTGTGAATTCAATTTACTTATCTGTTCGTATAAAAACTGATTTGTGTATGTTGGTTGAGAGTGCACGCTTAATTTTCATGCATGAATTTGACGCTAGAATATAAGGGAGTTTCACCTAATCGTTATGAACTTATATTCACAAGTAGTGAAGGTTGCTAGTCACAATCATGTTAAGTAAATTCTTGGCATAAGTTTCATGCAAATCATAGTAACGAGTGCCTCGTCAATGCTTATGTTTTTCATAGAACTTAATGATTCTTGCTTGTATCTCTATTATGCAATTCATGTAGGGAACTTGTAGGGAATGTTTTGGGTTGTCGTATGCAATTATCCAACCTAATAACTTGTGGAAAAAATGAGGGTTAATTAGTGCAATTCACAGTTAATTTGGGGCGTTGAGTATTCATAGTTTATCGAAAAGCAACTGGAAATCGTTTTGTATGCAAGTGTGACATGTGTGGAGAAGAACCTCCTAGCTAGCCTTCCATCCATAAGTTTCATTCAAATTCATTTACAATCTGTTTTGATTCACCCAAATTTGTCTAAGAATCTGTTTACTTTGTTCTTGTCTTAATTTAATTATTTTCGTCCAAAATCAACCCCATCTTATTTCTTTGAGTCATATTAATTAGAACTTGTCTTAGATTATGTTTTTAAGTGTTTTAGTCCATTAGAAAACCAAAATTCGTCCAAGTTTGTGTTAGGTGTTCAAAACTGCCCAGAAAGTGTTTTTAAGGCAGTTTTGAGTGTTTATTTGCTGTTTTGAATCTTTTTGTTTATCTTAGTATTTTAAAGTATAGTTTTGCATTCTTTGAGTCTAGTTTAGTGTTTTAAACTTTGTTTTTACGTTTTCAAGTCAGTTTCCAAGTGATTTAGCAATCCCCCTAATCCCCGGCCTAGAACGATCCCTACTTACATTCTTTACTACAATTGACAAAAAGAGGGTTTAATTTGTGTGCTTATTTATTCCGCATCAGTAATGGGTGGGTCAAAAAATTATACATACAAAACGGGCGGGGCTGGGCCGATTCTTGATAAATAACATGGCAGGCCAGTTCTAAAATTGGAGAAAACGGGCCCCCGGCCCGGACCGTTCCCTACCCCTTAATCTCTATCTTTTTTTGTCAAAAATACCCTCTAAGTCTAAATCTCTATCACAATCTCTCTCTTATTCTCAAGTGCACTTAACTCACCCCTTACCTCACCCTCTCTCTATCCCGACACTGACTCCGACTCTCCTCCCTCGATCTCTCCTCCTTGAATCCCCTTTCTTCTTTCGTCTCAAACCTTAATCTCCAGCCCAGGCTCCCATCTCAGACCTCAATCTCTCGAGCCCAGGCTCCCAAATCATGGCATGCATGGAAGCCGTCCAGCTACAAATGCATTTCTACAAATCATGGCATGCGCTGATCGACCACTCCTTCTCCGACATGCTACATATGCACTTCTACAAGACCTGTGGCAGTAAACTCAGTCTTCGAGTTGCATATGCTGCTGGCCCGACTCGACCCTGTTTGAATCGACTATGTCGGAGGTTTATTTGGGGAAACAAAACTGCAACGTGGTGGCATGCGAAAGGTTGGACCAGGTAGAGAGGCACGATCACCATCGCAACATCCTCTCCTAACTC